CGCTTTAAAAACGTACTTTTTGCATACACCACCCTTCGCCAACTACACCATTTCCACATCTGGTTCTGCAAAGCCGTGATTTCGGGATGGACAGCCACTGGACAACCGTTGCTGAAAGTTAGGCTCATGACGAAACGTGTGAATTCCGCATTGATGTTCCGACACTGCGTTGCGGTGGTCTGTGGCCAATCAGTGTAGTGCTTTTAGCGTTTATGATTCCGGTTGTGAACTGGATTACTATGAAAGCACTTGCAAAATGCAAAGATTTTCCATTTTCTTATAGCAGCGACTTAATCAGTTTAATTTTAGTTTTGGCGACAGGAAAGAAGATTATGCTTCTTCCACATTTTACTTGGACATCCACAGGAATTATGCGGATAAAAAAAAAAATAGTTTTTATCCTCCCGATTTTTTTCGCGCTTTACCCTTTCGCACAGCACTGTTTTTTTCTTCAATTTTCAAAAAGTTTGGGAAGGTGCAGATTCTTCGAGTAGTAATTATGATTTGTGTCAGTAAGATGTTCTGTGTCTTCGCGAAATATCGTTCCACTTCAATTATTTTCGCTGCTCTGTAACTGGTATCAATTTGTAGCAGTCGAGTCCGTTTTCTGTCTGGTAATTGCCTCAGGAAGTCGACTGGTTAACTTGGGTTTGAGGTGATGTAGTGATCGCCAAGTTTTTGGTCAGGAAACTCACGGTCTGTACTGTTTTCCCACAACAACAAATTTTTCTTTTCTTTGGAAACCAGATCTTGAGCCGTTCTGCCATTTTTCTATAACATTTATATAATATCATCTATATGGTTTAGTAATAATAAAGATACTGGAGTAGAGAAGGCGGCTTCTTTTTGATTCCCTGTTAGTTTTTTTTCTTCTGAATTGATCTGGTATATAGAGATAAAGTCGCCTTTAGTGAGTATATCTTCCTGTTTTTTATTAATTTATCTTTTGACATTTTTGCAGTTGGATTTAGACGGATGTATGAAAGGTATGGCTTGACTAAAATTCTGGGATTGTTATCACTGTCACAGCTCATTGTAAATGGATTTACATATATTCAGTCTGTTTGTTGTCAACCACACAACTAATACTAATTGTACGTTCTAGTTTTAAGTATTTTCAGGTTATCGTTGTTTGTCTTTAGCTAATGGTTGTAGCTTTACTTAGCTCTCCGGAACGATGTATTCACCAAGAAAGCAAAATGGAATTACATCAAAGTCAGATATATTCATGCGACCAGACGTGCTACATCCAATTCCCAAAGAAATTACTAGTATACGTGAAAACCTTGAAGAACGTAAAAGAACTTTTGAACAGTGCTTTCTAGTACAGGTTTTCGGAGAATTTGTGTTTTTAGTCTGAGTAAATTCAGTTTTTACGTGTATTTATTGATAAGACTTCTTACCAGAAGATCATTTAGGATGCCATAATTTACGTGACGTACCTTCATGTTTTTTATTTGCTGTGTATCTTGACCTTCTTGGTCTGTGTTTGTGAACATTCGAAGGAGGGTATTGCAGCTCGTTCTTTCGTCTACCCAGCAGCAGGCTGCACGTGTCTTTTGTCAATCATCGTACTGGTTTTGGCAAATCGGGCATCCGTAATTGTAGCACTGATAATTCCGTTGATGATCTGGCAGGTGGGAAGTATTAATTTTTTTCATCAGTTTCTTGACTGTTTTTTATTCTGTAGGCTTGTTTGTGGTGCATAATTTTCCGGTTGATGAAAAAATAAAGAGTTTTTAATTATAATAAACAGGGAGGGATACCCGTTAGATGGTATGTATTCTTTAAAAGTCAGAAAAGAAGCAGAATTTAGAGCCAGTTTTATTCAAGTAGTAGCGTCTTTCGAATTCTAAAATATTTATGCTTTTGTCTTTGTATGTCGGCTGAGGCTTGTGGAAAGGATTCTATTTGGAGAGTCTTACAGGTTTTGGTTGCTCTCTCCTTGATTTGTGGCGGAGCGTATCTCATTCATAGTATTACTGTCATGTCCTTTGCATCTACAAGGTTACGCATTCTGGCTTGGTGTTTTGCCCCAATCTCAGCTGTGCTTTTTACGGCATTTCACTTCTTTGCGATCTACTTGACCTGCGTTTACTACAATTATATTAGGCAGAGGTTCGGTATCGGATATTCTGGTTTTAAACCACATTTTTTCGAATTGCGCGATCTGTTTAGTTCTGGAATGAAGCAAAGAAATATACCCGTCTTTTTTACCAAATATTTCAGGCCTTTCCTTTGCGCAGTTGTATGTGTCAGATTTTGTGCTTAATCTTTTTTGTTGTGTCACCGCTTTTTTTTATCCAACAGTGAGGAGTAAGAGAAGCATCTTGGATGTTTCATTATTTTTATCTTGAACGATCTTAGAAAGAACGATGGAAGTAAGGCGTCAAAACTGAAAATCCGCTATGAATCGACTGAAACTTTTGACCAGCGTTCCTACATCAGGGAGAAGAATCACTGTGGCTCAATTAACTCTATGCTTCTGGTTCCAGCGTGTAGCAGCCCGATTAAGAGAAGGACAGAGATTAGAGTCAGTGAGCCAATTAACGTGTAGGATTTGTTTATAAGTGAGTGGCTTCAACAGTGTTGTCTACTAACTGTGTATAGAATTGTTTGGTTTCATGTGGCAGAATAAGTTCTTATATTTTTTTTTCGCAGAATCTAAATCACGGGGTTCTTGAGTCTGAACTGTTGCTTCAATTTTGGTTATAACGTAAGTTTTGAGTCAAACTGTTTTTTGTGGAGTTTTCAGGAATTATTTGTAATATTGTAAACGGGAGGATTTTAATTTTTTATTGAATTGATTAATTAAATAAAATCTTTTTCTCTTCCCAAAATTTATTTATTTTACTGTTGTTTACCTGTTCATTTAATAAAGATGATTTTAAAAAAGAGCGGCGATGCTTTTCTGAATAAGATATTTAGCGGCATGATTACCTTTTTATTGCACATTATCATGGAACAGAAAGCCAGTTGAAGTAATGCGGGCATTTAGTGTAAAATTTACTGTTTATAATAATGTGGCACAAAAAAAGGTTTGGTGGTAAAGTTTTTCATTTACTGCAGCTTATAATTTTCTTATTGGGTTCTTATTAACATAAACAGCGTTTGAAACTTTTGACTGCAACTCTTGAGTGCTCTGTGCAGGACATATAGTGCCGCGAATTGAAAGAGCAGCCTCGAGACATTTCATCTGTTTAAAACAATCCGTTCAGGGCTGTTGTAGTTGAATTCTTGTTGTGGTTTTTTTTTCACATTTCGCATATATTCGGTTATGTCGATGTAAGTCAGCAAGGTTAGTTAAATGGTAGTCGACCAAAAAGCGTTCAGTGGTTATCCATCTTTTACGGTAATCTATTATTGTTAATGCGGGTAGGATAGTTCCTGCTTTTCCTCTTCCTACTAGCACAACAAAAAAAATACGTACTCATTTCTTCTCTATTTTACTAAAGACCTGTTCACTTTTTATTGCTTCGTGTTACACTTTCTTTTTGTGATCAATGTCTTACCGAGATTAGCTTTTTAGTAAGCAGCTCTCTCCAGCCATTAGTTGAGCTGTTTCAGTTTAATGGCGTGTACCTTACATCGACGGCTTAAACTTGGATATACTTTTAGTACGGCACATTTAACGCAAAGTTTAACATATTATTCTTTCCGCTGGCAGAAACTGCACTCACCTTTTGTTTTTGAAGACACTTCTATGAGAAGGAAGATTGGTAATTTGGCTGAATTTTCACTAGTGCTTGGGGAAGAACTGAAGAATCAAAAAAGTATACCACGTGGCAGAGTTAAGTTAAGCAGAGACTGAGAAGCAAGTTGACATCGTTTGGTAGATGTTGTTTTTAATTTTACCGGTAATGTTTATATCACGTTGAGGTTATCCCGAGTTGGGACAGTTTCGCATGACTTAGTTTTCCTAAAAGTTTATATTTGCTTGTCTGATTCCCACGATTTTTTTTACACATATTGCAGAGTGGTTTTTGATGTCTGAAATTACATTTATTTTTTTATCTTACATGCCAATAGTTTGTTATAAAGACTACATATTTTCTCCTTAAAAAAGCAATATTTCGACTGCTGTTGAACAAATTTATACCAGCGCTATTCATTATCACTGTGTTTTTTGAGTTGGTTTGAAGACAACGTAAGACGTGAAAATTTGATGATTATGCGAAAAAGCTAAAAATTATTCAAAACGATGAATGAGATCGTTTGGTGTTTAGGCAAACTTTTTGTCAAGTATGATTCACCTCTGTAGCTAGTGGAAGGCTCGCTCTTGAAAAAGTTGAACTGTAAGAACACAAGCCAAAATGGAAACAACGAGGCTGTTCTTCTCAATTATTCTTGATTCAAACACACACTGCAACAATTCTTTCTTTATAATATTTTGTGTTAGCATTTAACTCACAGTGGAAATTTGCTTTTTTTTCTTGATATTCAACTTCCAAAAACATTATGTTGTGTAGATGTTAGACTCACTTCGGGATAAAAAAGGTTTGTGTTTCGTTTTCCATAAACAGCTAAAAAAAAATCAGTAAACGAGAGAGCATCAATAGTTGGGAAGCTTTTCTGCTTTCCACTAGTCATCGAAATATGCTCTTCAGAGCAGGGATCTTATTGAACTTGTTTTCAACGTGTTAAGAGCAAACAATGGTTATAATGAAAGAAACTACTAACTTTTTTTGAAGTCTGTTGCTTCCTTTTTTCATTTTTTCTCTGCTATTTTTTATAAACAGATTTTCACACTTTTCTGAGAATGACAAACGGAACTTTTCTTTTTGAATCGCTAACATTGCTTTCAGTGTATTTAATCAGTCATGAAAGCTTCTTCAACACTGCAACCTTGGGGAAATGCTCAACTGAACTTCAGTCACAATAAAATTACATGATTATTGACGGCATTAATAAAGCGCGCATATTTTTTACCAGCAAAGTTACTTTTTTGAATGAACAAACATTATTTTTTTGAAACACATCATAGTAATTATTTTAGCGTGCTTTTTTTCTATTTCTTTTAGAAGGTAGTTTGTAGGAGTATATTGGCAATTATTTTGGCTTACAATACTGCGTAAAATTGTCAAGTCAATTATTAGAGGTTACCAAGCTTATTGTTTTTTTTGAAACAGGTGGAATATGAAAGAAGGTTTGCTAGTTTTTCAAGCAGGATGTTTATTCTTCATGGCAGCAAAAGTCGTGAAAGAATTTTTTTAGCTTAGGTTCTGTTCTTTTTTTCTTGGCAGTTTGACGTTATCCTGGATATTTGTTGCTGCCGTATTGCTACTTTTTTTCGGATACTTTCTTTATTTTTGAGCCTTCCTGGCTTTATTATTACTTGCTTTGAGCTTTTGCAAGCATTAGCGTCTGAAATTTGCTCTCGACTCGCGCACTACTGGTGCTTCTTTCTTCGTAGGAAATAGTCATCTTTCTTACTGATAGTTTTGATTTGAGGGCTTCCAAACGGCAGAAGAGAGAAGAGAATTTAGAGTTTTTGGAGGATCTGTGAGAATGGATGCCAAGGAGCACAGATGAGTGGGTCAAGCGAAAGAGGACTGGAAGATCAGATTAGCGTTTATACAGCAACTGTTGTTTGAAAACAGTCGAGGGATGTCTGTAATATAGAGAAGCTGACATCTATTATTTCTAATTAAGACTTTGTGTATCACCTGCTTCTAGCCACTGAAGATCTGTAAAGCAGTAAAACCTTTCTATTTTTTATTTACAATTCTTTAGAAGTGAACGTCGAATTACAAATGTGTTTTTCATTATTATGCAAAATTACCACAGTTTCTAGCATTACTTCATCGAGAACAATAAGTGAATATTAACGCATGAAGACGGCAAAAATAACGGCAACTGAAAGAGGAAATAGTTTCAAGGCGACAGTAATCAGGAGCATTGTTCAGAAGCATTTGCTTGGTTGCGGTTAACAGTAAACGCAGATTTAGAGATTTTCAAAGTAATGTATATCTTAGATGTTTCTATGCAATACAACACATGGTAAATAAACTTTTTTTTCTACTCATTGTTTTTTTAGCTTGCTAAGTTTATCTATGCGCAACTCGTTTTCTAGCTACCAACAATTTTTTTTCCTGGAAAGCTTGACGAATGATTATTACTGTGATTGGTCTTAGAAGCCGTTTTTGACTGGTGTAATTATCAAAGCTTCAGATTTTTATAAAGGATTCAGTTGAAATGGACTGTTACCAAATAGTCAACAAAAGCAGTACTTTGTTGGTAAAAAACAGATGTACCAGTTATGTTTATCACATATATTTCAGGCTTTAAATTTATTTTTAGTATGAAAGCAGTAGAGAAAGGTAACTGTACTGAGCAGTTTTGGTAAGTTAATTTAAATTTACCTTTAAGAAGCTACTTTGTAGTTGTTTATCAAGCTGTTAGCGGCTGAGAACATAAAGCTCTTGTCAAAAAATGCTTTCAAAAAAATTATTTCGAATGTCATTGAGATCTTACGAATTCTGTTTGAAGCCGTCACTAAAAGGATTCTGATCTGATGAATTAGCTTCCGATAGTGAAGCGTAGGACGTATTCTGCAATATTTAAAAAAAAAATTGCTGGATTTTTTGAGAAAGAATTGTCATGCAATTCTGATATAAAAGATATGCAACTTTAGTATAAAACTTTGCAAGGAAGCAGTGCTTTGCGATTTTCATACAAAACCGTTTTTCTACTTAGTAGCGAGACTGGACGTTTGTAGCTGTCCTATTCTAATTCAATAATTTGCACTGAATTTACTTCCGAAGTTCCAGAGCGCTGTCAAACTATCAGTTTTTCATTAATTCGTAGCTACGGCAAATAATATTTAAGGTGAAAATTGTGCTTTTTCTAATTGTATTCGTTCTTTCGCGAGAAACAGCTCGAGATATTGCTCCAGAAATTTGCGCCCTTATAAACTATGGTTCGCTCAGAAGGACGGCTTAATGAGCACGCAGCGCTTTTTGTAGATCCCAGGCAATGATAAGTTTTTCTTCTTCAAAGCATTCTCTAAAAGTGTGTGAAAATATGACATTTTTAATAGCTAATCTAAACTTATAAGCTTTCCAGAAAATTCAGGGATGTTTTGTGTTTACATGGTGATCTGTGAAACTCCGAATACTCCTTTTTATTTTACCAAACGCCTACGTTTCTGATATTCTAAAACTGCAGATCTGGCAAACCACTGTGTGTCTGCAGTCAAGTCTGTTCATGGCGATCTTTCTCGCCTAACTGAATACTCTTTGTAAGACCCGATTTTTGTGAGATTTTAAAATGATGATCTGTACATTAACTCTCAAGTTATTTAAAGAATAAAAACTTAGAAAAACAGCGGCAAAGCCTTTGCTCACGAACTTAATTTGATGCAGCACTGTAATTAATGTGCAAAAAAGACATGAAGAGGCACTTGCGATAAAATACCTTTTTGTTAAATATGTGTTTCCTTCAGTGGAACTTGATATTTATAGAGAAGACTGCTACAAGAGAACAAAGTGAAGGCATATGCAAGATAAATTTCTTGAGCGTTTAAGTGCAACTTGAGGAATTAGAGGAAATAAAAGT